AAAAAAAAAAAAAAATTATAGGAAAGGACCTGACACATTTTATTGAAATTTGTGGCAATATACTAAGTTGTTTTGTAGCATAAATGTTTTAAATGCTTTAATTTTAGTGTTTCTTTTCCAAAAGGCGGTTTTTCAATTTCATATGTGGTTCTCTCGTTAAAATTTTTTGTTGAAAGAAGCAAAAAATAAAGAGTAAAATAGTTGACAAAAAAAAATATATATATATATATATATACCTGTTGCAAGTTTGTAACATATAATATTAAGACTTAATAGGTGTTTCTGCATGAAAGCATAATCAAAGTCAAATACACTAATTTCAGAATATTGAGATTTTTAGAACCTTTCCTTGTAGATTTTGTAAAAAAAAAGATAAAAACTATTTCTGCTAAATTTGAATATGCTTTGCCATCTACACTTGTCTTCACAGTCAGTCTTCATCCCAAATATTCTGAAATGCAATAAAATGCTTAGGCAGTCATTAAACTGCTTATGGTGCTGCCATCCTTTCCCTGTACCTTCTATCAAAACCTCCGATTTCATCACTATTTGTCAATGGGCTTGGAGCAGCTCTGTGAAATACAGAGTACAACTGTGATGATGGTGGTGGAGGAGGAAGATACTACTATTAACGCTAGAACTATATTACAGATTAAAAATAGCCTACTGGAAGTTTTCTGGTAAATTATCATTTATAAATTAATTCTATGAGAAAATGAGTTGTAGATTCTGTGCAAGTATTTTTTAACATAACACATCTATGCTTGAGGAATGGCTATACGGAAATTTCAAAGGTACACTAACACAATTATGTACCTACAGAAAACTAGTTCCCTAAAAATTTTGAAAGCATTTTAGAGTTTAAGGTGCTGATTTTTCTTATTTATGTACTACCAGATGAGCAGTGTAATTAAAACCATACCCAACAGATATATCTGCAGCTGAATTTCTTTGTTCATCTTCCTTTAGTTTTTCTTGTTTCTCTTTCATTTTCTGTTCTTGTTCCTTAAGTTTTTCTTCCTTTCTTTTACGAATTCTGAAAGTTAAAATCAATTATTATAGTTTATCTGATATAAAGATACTTTTAATTTTTAACTTGCAGCATCTTGTCTTTAATCAAATTATGGAATGTACTCCAATGTTATCATAAAATCTTAATGCAGCAATCCATTCAAAACCTCTTAGTTATCAAACATCAGTATGAGATAATATCACCTTATAGCCCAATATGAAATATGGTTTTAGACACAAAGAAATAAACAGGTTTCATTAGTGCACTGACTATAATTATCTCTTACCTAGCAGCTGCCTCTTCCCTCTCTTTTCGATGTTGTTCTGCTTTTAACTCCCGGAACTCCTGTTTTGCCTGTCGTAATATATCAACATAATCTTCAATGAAATCCCTAGCAGAGACTAGGGTCAGCAGTTTCCCACAGAGAGCATGAAGTATTTTCATTTTTTCTCCTGTCAAAAATTGGTAAATAACTTCTGTATTATCAAATGACAAAAAAGGAATTGTGCTTGAAAATTTTTAATTTGTGGCTCAATGCGAAAATGCTTAATGAAGAATAGGAAAAAGTTCTCTCTAGATGAAACATGCTAATGCCATGTCTTTAGAAAAGCAACTTTAAATCCAATTTAACAGTTATGTGATATACAAGGCATTTCAAACACTAGCAACTACCTTATATTACTAGTTAAACAGCCATGAAAAGTTATCTAATTACAAAGAATTGTTTTTCAAGTTTTAATTCTTAGGCTCAGAAATGAAGTTCAAATCAAAACTCTATTATATATTCAAAAATACATCAAAAAGATCATCCATCATCATCAAGTGGGATTTATTCCAAGAATGCAAGGATGGTACAATATTCGAAAATCCATCAACATCATCCACCACATCAACAAAAAGAAGGACAAAAACCATATGATCATCTCCACAGACACTGAAAAAGCATTTGACAAAATTTAACATCCATTCATGGTAAAAACTCTCAACAAAATGGGTATAGAGGGCAAGTATCTCAACATAATAAAGGCCATATATGATAAACTCACAGCCAACATCATATGTAATAGCAAAAAGTTGAAAGCTTTTCTTCTAAGATTGGGAACAAGACAAGGATGCCCATTTTCCCCACTTTTATTCAACATAGTTCTGGAGGTCCTAGCCATGGCAATGAGACAACATAAAGAAATAAAAGGCATCCAGATTGGCAAGGAAGAAGTTGAATTGTCACTGTTGGCAGATGACATGACATTGTACATAAAAAACCCTAAAGAATCCACTTCAAAACTACTAGAACTAATAACCGAATTCAGCAAAGTTGCAGGATACAAAATTAATAAACAAAAATCTGTTGCATTCCTATATATTAATGATGAACTAGCAGAAAGAGAAATCAAGAAAACAATTCCATCTACAATTGCATCAAAAGAATAAAATACCAAGGAATAAACCTAACCAAGGAGGTGAAACACCTACACCCTGAAAACTACAAGACACTCATGAGATAAATTAAAGAAGACACCAATAAATGGAAATACATCCCATGCTCATGGAAGGGAAGAATTCATATTGTCAAAATGGCCATCCTGCCTAAAGCAATCTACAGATTCAATGCAACCCCTATCAAAATACCAACAGCATTCTTCAACAAACTAGAACAAACAGATCTAAAATTTATATGGAACCACAAAAGACCCCAAACAGCCAAAGCAATCCTGAAGGAAGAATAAAGCTCGGGATGTTATGCTCCCCAATTTCAAGCACTACTACAAAGCCACAGTAATCAAAACAATTTGGTACTGGCACAAGAACAGATCTATAGATCAATGGAACAGAATAGAGAGCCCAGATATAAACCCACACATATATGGCCAATTAATATACAATAAAGGAGCCACGGATATACAATGGGGAAATGATAGCCTCTTCAACAACTGGTGTTGGCAAAACTGGACAGCTACATGTAAGAGAATGAAACTAGATTATTGTCTAAATCCATACACAAAAGTAAACTTGAAATGGATCAAAGACCTAAATGTCATGAAGCCATAAAACTCTTAGAAGAAAACATAGCAAAAATCTTTTGAATATAAACACGAGCAACTTTTTCCTGATCACATCCTCTCAGGAAAGAGAAACAAAAGCAAAAATGAACAAATGGGACTATATAAAACTAAAAAGCTTCTGTACAGCAAAGGACACCATCAGCAGAACAAAAAGGCATCCTACAGTATGGGAGAATATATTCGTAAATGACATATCTGATAAGGGGTTAACACCCAAAATATATAAAGAACCCACATGCCTCAACACCCAAAAAGCAAATAACCTAATTAAAAAAAAATGGGTGGAGGATCTGAACAGACATTTCTCCAAAGAAGAAATTCAGATGGCCAGCAGACACATGAAAAGATGCTCCACATTGGTAATTATCAGGGAAATGCAAATTAAAACCAAAATGAGATATCACCTCACACCAGTTAGGATGACCAACACCTGAAATTGAAGGAACAACAAATGCTGACAAGGATGCAGAGAAAGGGTAACCCTCCTACACTGCTGGTGGGAATGTAAATTAGTTCAACCATTGTGGAAAGCAATATGGAGGTTCCTCAAAAAACTAAAAATAGAAATACCATTTGACTCAGTAACTCTACTCCTGGGAACGTACCTGAAGAAAACAAGATCCCGGACTAAAAAAGACATATACACCCCTTTTTTTTTATTGTAGCACTGTTTACAATAGCCAAGATATGGAAGCAACCTAAGTGTCCATCAGTAGATGAATGGATAAAGATGATGTGGTACATATACACAATGGACTATTATTCAGCCATAAGAAGAAAACACATCCTACCAATTGCAGCCACATGGATGGAGTTAGGGGGTATTAAGCTCAGTGAAATAAGCCAGGTGGAGAAAGACAAGTACCAAGTGATTTCATTCATTTGTGGAGTATAACAAGAAAGCAAAACTGAAGGAACAAAACAGCAGCAGACTAACAGACTCCAAGAAGGGACAAGCAGTTACCAAAGGGAAGGGGGTTTGGAGTGGGGTGGGGAGGGAGGGAGAAGGGGATTATGATTAGCATACATAATGTAGGGGGGTCACGGGGAAGGCAGTATAGCACAGAGAAGACAAGTAGTGACTCTATAGCATCTTATTATGCTGATGGACAGTGATTGCAATGGAGTCTATGGGGGGACTTGATAATATGGGTGAATATAGTAACTACAATGTTGCTCATGTGAAACCTTCATAAGATTATATATCAATATGATACCTTAATTCAAAAAAAACCTCTATTATAACTACATGAATTTAAAAACAATGGCATCCCTAAGAATGCAGTTTCCCAGTCTCAAGACGACGTATGCACCCCTATGTTTATCACAGCACTATTTACAATAGCCAAGATATGGAAGCAACCTAAGCGTCCATCAGTAGATGAATGGATAAAGAAGATGTGGTACATATACACAATGCAATATTATTCAGCCATAAGAAGAAAACAAATCCTACCATTTGCAACAATATGAATGGAGCTAGAGGGTATTATGCTCAGTGAAATAAGCCAGGTGGAGAAAGACAAGTATCAAATGATTTCACTCATCTGTGGAGCATAAGAACAAATCAAAAACTGAAGGAACAAAACAGTGGCAGACTCACAGAACCCAAGAATGGACTAACAGTTGCCAAAGGGAAAGGGACTGGGGAGGATGGGTGGGAAGGGAAGGAGAAGGGGAATAAGGGGCATTATGATTAGCACACATAATGTAGTGGGGGCACAGGGAAGGCAGTATAGCACAGAGAAGACAAGTAGTGACTCTGTATCATCTTACTATGTTGACGGACAGTGACTGTAATGGGGTATGTGGTGGGGACCTGATAATTGTGGGAATCTAGTAACCACAGTGTTGATCATGTAATTGTATATTAATGATACCAAAATAAAAAAAAGCACATAAAAAGAAAATAATGGCAATAGGCAAATTGCTACTTTGAAAAGATGGCACAGAAACATGACAGTAAATTATAAAAACTATATAATGTTAGGAACTAAGGTATTCTACTTTTATTATAGATTCTCTTAAATAAGCATATTAAACTGTGTATTTGTGCCTTCTAATTTTCTACTTAAAAGTGAAAAATACTTTCATCTTAACTTCATATACTATTTCTCACATCTCAAATACTCAAGTGAATGTTAGAAACTAAGTTTAAGCAGCTATGGCTTAAACTTCTGACACAATAGGGAATAAAAGTGAAAGCTAGCTAATGCTCACTTATCCTTCTAAACTTAGTAGATATAATGGACTAACCACAAAATTCTTATGTAATAGAAAATCCAATTGAAAATGAAAGGAAAATCACAAATATTTTAAGCTCTGAATATATGAACAATGAACAACAGTAGTTTCAATTTAGCTCACTATTTGTATTCTAACAGATTTTTTTAAAAGACTGCTTTCTCTCCTCTTTTAAAACCAATTATCATCTAAAATTTCTCATCAGCCATCTAATTTTCTGGGTCTAAGAGGTATAAGACAGTAGGAAAGGGGAAAGTTATACAAATTCCAACTTGCAAATTTTACCTGGTGTCAGATCATACACTGAAGTGCTCGACAGCTTCTTCACTAGACTGGGATTGCTCAAACGAAGCTCCATGCAGGCATCATCTGTGGCATCAAATCCTCCTCGTTTTTGATATCTGTATTTTGCATTTGCTGATGTTACATCAGCACCTGAAGCTAGGATGTGCAGTCTGAGGATTTCAGAAAGAGTGCAGCTGTCAAGATCCAAGCTTTTCAAACTGCAGCCTATAGTTGTTAAAAATGAAATAGTTATTTAGAATATCAACAATAAGTCCTCAGCAATGTAAAATTTACCTTTATAAAATTAAAAATAAAAAGCCAATCAAAAAAATAAAACCCACACATACCCTGGTGCAACTGCGGCCATGCAGCTGCCAAAGATGCAACTGCAGAAAGTGCAGATTTTGTGGGGTCTGCATCTTCGTCCAAAGCCTCTGTTAAATCTTTAAGGAAATAAATACTTTATTCTAGTGCAAATCAAAGCTTGAATATTTGGGAATAATGCCCTTTTAAAATGATGAAAGAAACAGCAAACAGCTTAATATTCAGAAGCCTCAAAAGAACCAACAACACTAGGTACAACAAGCATCATTCACATTCTGCCTAGTCTCCACCTAAAACTATAAATCCTCAGACATGCACTACACACTAATATTTTCCTTACCTAACATTGAGAAGACAGTTTCTAAGTTACCAACAAGATGCACATACACATTCCAAAAAAAAGGTAAAATGCACGTTTGAAATAAAAACAAATCTCCTTGCTCAATATAACTTTAGAAAAGCCTACTTTGAAACTCAGAACCTATTTGAAGATACCCAATTTTTCTTGTAACTATGTTCAGACTGAATCATAACAAAGTATAGGTTGTAACATCACAAAACCAGCCAAAGAGCTAGAACTTAGAGAACAGCTTTTTATTTTGAAAATCCTCTGATACAAGAAACAGTAGGAAGATTTCCCTGTATTTTCTAAGTAAATTGCTTTAAGCTTTGAAAGCAGTGCTTAGCTTACAAATAGGACTAACAAGCAAATCAACTGGCACAAACATATTTAAAGCATTGGTATAAAATTGTTCACTTGTTATATCACAGTATAGTGGACACAGCTTCAGACTGAGAGTCAGATTGTGAATATTCTCTTAACTCTGCCACTCCCTAGTTCATAGTTATGCAGCCTTTATACAATCACTTAACAGACTTCATTTTTCTTAAAGGAGTGAGTCAAGAAGTTTTCAAATTCTTCCAGTATTTCGAGTATTTCTTGGAAGCCCAATATAAAAGAGGTAAAATATCCCCTTGTTAAAGTAGGGTATGGAGATGACAGTACTGCCCATTCATCTTTCCAACTCTCCTGCAGCGGCATCTAAGAATCCCTGTACAATTTGTAGGGCTTCTTGGATTAGAGGTGGAAAATCACTGGACTACACTGATTCTGTGGTTCCTTAACCTTCCACTATGTATGATTCCCTTCCCAAAGTTCAAAAGTTGATAAAAATAAACCTTAGAAAACAGAACTGCTGTGCTTTACTAAAGGAAAAAGGCAACTCAGGGATCATGTCAGATTATAATCATTGACAATGTCATGGCATTTAAAGCACAAACAATACTGTACAGGAGAAATTACTTGACTAAACTTTTCATATCCACAGGAGTTATTCCTATCAGGCCAAGAATCTAGTCCAAATGACAGATATTAATTATATTCTTCCTTGCCAGGGAAATACTGGATCTAAACTTTCTCAGTTTTTTTTTAAAGCCAAACACATTTAAGATTAGTAGGCACTCAAATAAAGAATAGCCCTAGTTACACAGCTGTAAAAGTGTATTGACTCTTTTCCTTTGCAGCAATCACAACGTTCAACCTATTTTATCTATAGTAAGTTATAATTTCCTAGGCCAAAAGCTCTAAAGGCCTAGGAAATAGACGACCAACAAAATGACAGTTTATTTTTCATTAAACTAACATGTCAAAATATGTACTCTTTAACTTAATTATCTACCAAATGAATTTCTTGGCATTCTCAAGAAACTGTAAGTATCACTGTAGGGTTTGCTTAGAGACTGTCACTTGGGTAACATCATACCAAGAGAATACAGCTGAACTGTATATGTTATGATTAACTGAAACACATACATTTATCATCATAGTAATCTAGAATTAGGTACATACATGTCCAACACTAAATAGTGATATCTTAGCAAATACACAAAGCTATTTTATGAGGAGGATGCTTATATAGAAGCTCTCTCATACTCTGAAGGGCTTTTAAGTTCATGATGTTAAGACTAAAGAGACGAATTGATTTTTTTAATGTAAGATTTTAAAAATTGCTAGTCAAAATGTCCAAGATTTGATATAAAAATAGGGAGGCCAAATGCAAAAGAATTATACTTTACTGAAGACAGATAATTTTATAGGTAATGCTAGGGAAACAAATATTCACATTTTCAACTTCTTTGCCATATTATGAGGCAAGACAAGCATAGTTACGAGTCTCCAGACCATACCACCTGAGTTTTTACCTCATCAATTTCTTACTAGCCATGTGTCTTTGGGCAAATTAACTAAACTCTGTAAGTCTAAGTTTCTTTATATGTAGCAGTCAGAAAATAATTATATCTAACTGGTATGAGAATTAAATGAAACAATGCATATAGAGTGCACCACTTGCTAGCTATGTGATCTTCAATAAACAACTTCACTGAACCTCAGTTTTCTTGTCACTAAAATAAATTCATACTTTCCTCTTCTGCCCAATTTCCCTCTTTCTAGAAATAGCAGGAAACACCTTACTAGTAAGGCCAGCTAAAGAGGAAGTAAGAGAATTTCAATCCTATCTAACTATTTAATTGCTTTCAGGAAGACTGTGGAAAAGGCTTTTTGTTGCTGACATGAGAGAACATATGAAAAATACCTGGGGAATAGCCCAAGGCCCTTAATGAAACCAAGTAAACCATATAAAACATGGCCAATATAGTAGGGAAGTGAGAGAAGTGTGACAATCCCAAAGTATGTTTTTTTCCCTAACGTTTACTAAATATTTTCAAAAGGAGTATTAAAACCTTTATTTAATGGTGAATACTTAATCAGAGGTAGACCTTATATTTACATTTACAGTCAGTCCTGCACAGGAATACAACTATAAAAATTGAAGCTCAAATAAATTACGAATAGAAAACATAATGGCAATATAACCACCAACAGTCACATATTTTTCCTTTACACTAGCTAATTTTCCAACACAATTTCCAGTACCTCATTTTTTGTCATCAGTACAAGACTACAAAATTCATTTGCTTCAAATCCTGATTTAAATACAGCTTTATGTCTTATATTATGGTCAGAACTTGGTCAATAATGGTATAATGTTATTGGTCATTAAGACAATCTAATGACTAAAAGAAGGAGTATTTGCTACGTCGTCTGTCTTATTAGATGTATTATAAATGGATTTATCTTTCTGCTTTCCTTTTATTAGAGTCTCTTAATTGACTAAGTCATCTGAGATGACAATGGGGACCATATTCTAAAATGGCCTTGATAAGGGACCTACAGTGATCAGCACGTAAGCAAGCTAGAGAATATATTTTGCTGGCTTTCATGCTGTAAAACCAAAAGTCAACTGATACTGGCTACATACTCATCATTATCCTGTTGCTTCAGGGACCTGCTATAAAGGAAAATGAGCTCAATTACCTAACATCAACAATACTATTTGAATGTACAGATGTTCCATCTTTTCATATCAAGATTCTACTATCCAGATGTCTCCCAATAGTTATTTCTTTTTGTGAATTTTTATACAGTGAAGTATTGTTTATAAAGCTTCTGATCCTAAATCTTACATGTGCCAAAGTTCACAGAGAATACTATTCAGGAAGCCAAATCAATATCTTAATACAAATGCTTAACAATTCCTCTGATTGAGAGAAATCCTAAACAAAACAGTGAATATACTGTTTTAAAAACAGAAAAACAGTTTCCCCAATAATATTCCTATATTAACATGGACCACACACTGACTATAGATATTTAAGTGATATTTAAGATATTAAAGAGCAAAATTTATAGTTCAAACTAATTGTTGAAATAAAAGAATTAAATTTTACTTAACTCTGACCTAAAAACTATCAGATCTGAAATGAACTCAACTGTAGTAATTTTCAATTCAAAGTATTAACAACGACAATTCAAGTATTTCCTTAGGTGTGGGCAAAAAAATCAGTGCTATTCAGCAGTATCTTTTGGAATTACAGATACTGGTTAATGAAATCTGTGATGCTCCTAAGTTATAGGAGAAATCTAAAGGAATAATAAGCAAGATAGATTGTGGGGGAGGGGAGGAATATTTTTAAGGTCATCAAGAATAAGATACATTAAAATAAAACTTTTTATTAAACAACTGATAATGTATTATTGTTAGCATATGACTCAAGAATTGGGTAACTTGAACAACTATATTTTCTAACTGTAAAAGTCAAGTTTGTTTTTAAGTGACCTTCAAAAATCAGTTTCATTACAAAGCTACTGTCAATCAGCAATAATGTTGAATTCTGACCTTTGGTGTCAGCATCAGTTATTTGCTCTTTGGCTACTTCCTCCTCTTCTTCAGCTATCGCCTGGAAGATGGCAGTCAGGAAGAAAAAAAGCAATTCACATAGTGGGCCTTCACTGTCATTTCCTACAAGAGCTTCCTCTAACACTTCTGTGAATAAAATGTTTAAAATGAATTTAAAGTTCTCTTTACACGTACTGAAAAAAACAACTCCATTGGAATAATAAACATTTCAATCAACAATAGCCTGGGGTAATTATTTTCTTAAGTGTCCATTTACCAAAGTAGATCCAAGTATTATCCAAGGCAAAATAAAAAAAGAATTCATAATGATTATAATAAAGTAATAAGCCAAAATCACTACATTCAAGAAAGCCAAATTAGTCTCAGTAAGCCAATCCAGTATTTTATCTAAATTTAAAGTGCAAATTAAGGCACATATTGAAAGCTTTAATTTTATTCTAATTTGAATAACAATGCAAAGATTTGTTACTATTGTCCCACTATTCTTAAGAGCTATGTGAGACACTACTGTTTACCAATTAGTAGAGTGGAGAAATAATTATCAACATCAGGTGTAACCCTAATATTATATCCAAATCATAAATGTTTCTTAATCTAATCTGTCTTACTTAAACTTCTTACCAGCATTGTTTAGACCTTCTTGAACTGTAAGGCACAATTATTCATGCCTCACCTAGCTCATAAAGAGAAATGAGGGAATGTGAATGCCCTCCTGAAGAATACACTCTTATTAAAATAAGAGTGGCATTATAATTATCTTTGAGGGTTTTTACTTGGATCTTAAGAAAAGCAGTTTGCTAGTTAAAAGCCAAAAATCCCAGATGGGATCCAAAGCCCTCCTCTGATAATTTAATGCTTATAAATTATGTTTATACAAAGTAAAAGTAGAAGCAAAACAGAATCACAAATTAAAGGTAGGCAATAACATGCCTCAAACAAGGATGACATCAATTTCTTCCCTCTCTGCACTTAGATACTATGCTGCTCTTAACAAGTGGAGCCTATTCCTTCGCCACCTTGTAAGATTAGCAGGCCTGACCAATGGGATATGGCAGAAATAAAGCCTGCCAGTTCCAGGCCTAACCTTTAAAAAAGGCTGGCAATTTCTGTTCATGACTCTTGTAGCCCTTAGCTGCCATATAAGAAGTGTAGGCTACGGTGAGGAAGTGGGCCACCACATGGAGCAGCGCCGAGGAACTCGCCACACGTGGGAAGAAGCCATCTCAAACATCTAGCCAGGTAAGCCTTCAGTGGCTCCAGTCCCAGCTGAATTCTGACCATAACCACATGAGACCCCAAGAGAGGGCTGGACAATTAGGTCCAGTGACTCCATAGAACTCTGAGAGATAACAGTTTCCTCTTTCAAGCCACTAATTTTAGGGTGAACCATTAACACAGCAGTAGCACTTGCCTAGGGTTACTCCCTCAGGAAACTCATCTTGAAGATCAAAGAGTTCACCAAATGCATTAAGGAACTCCAAAACCATCAGAGCATCACCAAAGATTTCAGGAGGTAGTCTAGTTTTCACTGGAGTTGGTTCTGGAAGTTCCTGCAAGATTAAACAATTTACATAAGTATTTGAACCAAGTACAGGGAATTGTAAAAGGTAAATATGATAAACTCTTTACCTATTAATTATTTCACATGGACTAGTGGTTCTTAACCCTGGATGTCTATCACAGTCACCTACGGAACTTTTAAAATTATAGATGTTCTGGCCTTATTCAAATTTTACTACATCAGTCTCTAGGGACTTTTTTATTCATCAAACTAAGAACATAACTTTAGGCTGAAGTGTATTTCTGATTAGCAATTCCTAGTTAAGAGGGACTTCTAACTTCGGTTCTGAGGTTAAGGCATTAGCTGTGGCAATATTACCTACAATGCAAGATCTCCTTAGGTTATGAGACAGAATTAATCCATCATCTACTTACTTAAGAAATGGTTCCTTGTAAACTGAGATGAGTTTGGTTTGGAGACTTTGACCATTTCTGGAGACAGGCATAATCTTTACCTACCAATCAAGCTAAATGTATGCCTGGCCCCAGTGGTTACTGGATTATCAAGGATCACACAAATGACCAATCATTTCTGCATTATACAAATCATCAAAGTTTACTATAAAATACTAACACTGCTACTTTGGAACTCTAACTATAGTATTTGCTTATTGACTATTTTGGCTCAGTTAAATACAAAAAGGCTACTACTAAACACAAAGGAAGATTTCATCAGCCACACAGGGCAACACAATATGGGTGTGTGAAACATCACATAACATGCTTATACCTTAAGATCATCACATTCCATATCTTCTCTAGGTTTACTCCACTGTTTTAAGTATTCCATATATTTTCGCTTCTCTTCACGTAGTTTTTCTCTCTCCTAAAACAAAAGGTTAATAAGAATTCTTTTAAGACGTTTATAAGGCAGCATCACCGTCACCTGGGGACTTGTAAGAAATACAAATACTGGGTGTTCTCCCAGCCCTACTGAACAAGGAACTCCAGGGTTGGGACTCAGCAGCTTGATGTTTTAATAAGCCTGTCTGGTGATTTGCACACATGCTAAAGTGTTAGAACCACTGATCGAAACAATGCCTATCTGAGGGAACTGCTACAAAGATGGAAAATGTCTGATACATATGATTTTCCACAGTAGCTCCTGGATAAATATTAATTCAATCTGACCCTGTTTATAAGCAGCGATTCCCCTACTTCAAATCAATTAGATCCTGACAAAGTAGGAAACAAATTAGTACTAGAGTATCAGAAGTAAAACCTCCCCTAATACTTGTAATACATTTTTTGCTTTCAAGATTCATTTAAACCTGACTAACAGCCTAGGGATACACAGAGGCAGCAGTAAGCAAAAGCAATACTAGAATACAATTAGTTGGTGGACTTCTTTTTCTTTTAATCAAGGCCACTTCTCTTACTCACTTGGTCGTTTGAAATCTTTACTGCTTGGTTCTGGTTTGAAACTGCAAGATAGATATTGACCCTAAAAAGTCTCTAATAATGCAGAGTGTAAATAAAATGTTGTAATAATTTTTTTTCAGTATGTGTTTAATATATATTATTTTCTTCCTTTGAAATTTAAGAACATCAAAGTAACAGATGTACACACTAGTTACAGAACTTATTAACTGTGCTTTTAGTAGTCTGTTGAAATAAGTCTTTCCCTTGCTACCCCCAATACTTCTTGGGGAATATAATAAGATGGGTTTTCTCATTCACTATTGCTAAGAGTGTAAATATGCATATTTGGCAAATAAGTATCTATGTATATGTATAGAAAAATTTTAAATGATCTTACCCTTTGTCCTATTATTCTACTTCTACAAGTTTATCCAGGGATATAATCCAAAAATAGGACTTATACACAAATTTGAAGAGTATCAATATTTATGAGTAAAAATAGAGCACTTACCCCTATCTATTTGGTTAACTATTATCCAGTCACTAAAAATTCTACCTTACTAAGTACATTTAATAACATGAAGCAATGTTGATAATGTTAAACAAAAAAAAGTAGGCAAAAGTATAAATGCTGGCTCTCTTTTTTTAAGGGCCAGAATGAGGACTAGAAATAAATTAATCAAAGTGTTAATGTTACCTCTAAAGATTACTACTCAGATAACAATTGGTTTTTTAATTTTCTATCTATATTTTCTGGAGTAAACATATTCAAGACACCTCCATCCCCACCCCAAGGGCCTATCTGAAATAACTCAAGAAACTACAGGTAATTTAAATTAGCACAGTGTATATATAACATAATCACCTAAGGCTACTTGTGAATATTCCAGAAAACCAATGACAATGACTAACTGGAGGGTATCACCGATAGTATTCTCTAAGAAGTATCTACTACTAAAGATGGTAATCAAAGATGTTCTAAAATACCCTAGTATCACGGAAACCTTATTCCTCAAGGAGAATAAGAACACTGTACTAATTCTTGTTAGTTATAGATTTTATTGTATTTTTCTAGTTGTATTTTACTTTTGAAAGCTTTATGCATATCATCTTCTCTAAATTTGGGAGTCTAAATAATGAAGAAAATAAACTTTAGAAGTGCACTTAAGAAGAGGCTTTAAGGTGTAAAGGTGTTTTATACACACATATATACAAATATATCTATGTGTGTGTTTATATATACACACATATATATATATGTAAAACCTTAAATCATTCAGTTATGAAATTTTCCAAACCAATACTGTTAATCAGTATTCTATGCACAACTATAAATGTGAATGAAAGTGGTAAAAGCACTTGAAAATTAACCATGAATTTAAATAATATGTAAAGCACTATTTACTACATGTAGACAGCATTGCTACTATATTTCTATGAATACCTTTTCTCTTTCTATTTTAAGTCTCTCTTTTTCTTCTTTCTTCTTCAGTCTCTCTTCTTCAACAATTTTCTTCAATTCTTCCTTCTTTTTTTCTTTATCTTCCTTTTCCTTTTTCTTTGCTTCTAGGGCATCAGCTTTTTCTCTTTTTAATTTAGCCTTTTCAAAAGCTGTGGAGAAGGTCAAACTTAGAACTGTACACAGACAGAAAATAACACATTTCTTAATGTAACAAAATAATCCTTGAAATAATTTAAGGTTAAATGAGATTAGCAGAGACTCCCAGGGGTTTTAAAATCTTGGAGGGAGCTAGCAGGTGATTAAAATGGGAAAAGCAAGCTGGCTGAGTTTAACCAAACACAGGGACAAACACACACCTGCCTTTCCTAAGACCAGGAGCACAGTATCACCTAGTTAGAAATGCACAATCTTTTCTCCCACCCAGACCTACTAATTTAGAATCTTTTAATTTCATAAGATTCCCAGTGAGTCATATGCACAGTCATGTTTGGGAAGCAATGTTTTATAAGGCTGTGTGACTCAAACAAAATGACCTAAAACCATAAGCCCTAAACACACCAATTTGCACTTAATCTAGCATTAGGTCAGTGTAATAAGGGATACGCTAGACCTTGAAATTTAAGAGATGAATGGAGGTCTAATTTATCCAAAAGGCCTATAGATACTACAGGAAAAAACTATGCTTAAAAACTAAACCAGAAATATGCCATTTTAGAAACATCCCCCACTTGCGCAACAAAGAAATATTCTTGTATCTAAAGAATTTTTGGAAAGAATGTTAAAACTCACCCAGTGACTTCAATTCTTCTTGTTTCAAAAGTTTGTATCTTTCTTTAGTAGCTTTGTTCCTATGACCTGCAATAGTTTGTTTACTAGAAATACTGCCCTCCTAAAAAACAAACGAGGAAAGTAAAGTGTAGGACCAAAACTTTTACAAATTGATGGTCTACCTTGCTCTTACAGTAAGAATAAAAAACAAAAAGAAAAAAATGTAGAAGCTGTCATCAGTTATGTTTTCTTTATACTAAAATGAGGTCATGTTCTAAGCACAACAACTTTTAGTAACTCTAATTGTAGAAACAGAGAAATGAGTTAATCCTCAGCTCTACAAATCAGTACAAAAACAAACACCTCTCAGGAGTGGGGAGGAGCCAAGATGGTGGTGTGAGTAGAGCAGTGGAAATCTCCTCCCAAAACCATATATATTTTTGAAAATACAACAAATACAACTGTTCCTAAAAGAGAGAGACCAGAAGATACATAACAACAGCTGGGCTACATCTACACCTGTGAGAACCCAGCGCCTCACGAAGGGGGTAAGATACAAGCCG